TATACATATATATATATATATATATATATATATATATATATATATATATATATATATATATATATATATATATATATATATATATATATATATATATTGGATTTGAAACTTCCTCGGGAGCTATAAGTGATTTCAGTTGTTTTCCGGGTTTGACTCCGCGTTAAGTAATTTTGGTTTTTAGAAAAACCATTGTTTTGACGACGTTTCGGCAAGGTCACACTTGCCATTGTCAAGTCAGATTAGTTCTGCTTCGTCTTGATGTTTCAGGAGAACTGATTTCTCGGTCGCTGCTCGCTAAGTTTAAATACCTTGAAGCGCTTCTTGTTATTGGTCCTGTGCGCAGAGTGGGCGGGGTCTTCTTCGCTATTTTAATTTCTACGTTTTTCTGTAGAATTGATTTCCACGTATTTGGGAGTCTTTGGGCATCGTCTCTGGTATTTAAATTTTTTTTTTAACGTGTAATCAGGGAAGCCATAGAGATCGAAAAACATCCAAAAAATTTAAATACCAGAGACGATGCCCAAAGACTCCCAAATACGTGGAAATCAATTCTACAGAAAAACGTAGAAATTAAAATAGCGAAGAAGACCCCGCCCACTCTGCGCACAGGACCAATAACAAGAAGCGCTTCAAGGTATTTAAACTTAGCGAGCAGCGACCGAGAAATCAGTTCTCCTGAAACATCAAGACGAAGCAGAACTAATCTGACTTGACAATGGCAAGTGTGACCTTGCCGAAACGTCGTCAAAACAATGGTTTTTCTAAAAACCAAAATTACTTAACGCGGAGTCAAACCCGGAAAACAACTGAAATCATATATATATATATATATATATATATATATATATATATATATATATATATATAATATATATATATATATATATATATATATATATATATATATATATATATATATATATATATATATATATATATATATATATATATATATCCTGTTTGACTGTTTTTTCATTTATTTCTTTCTCTAGTCTGTTTACAACGTGCTTGTCTTGAAGGAGCTATAATTGGTACTTTAATCTATCTCTAACAGGTTTTGGTATTATTGGTAGTTCTTATTTTAGATTTACTATTCTTAGTGTATGGTCACTGTTGGTGTCCGCTCATCTGCTCAAATCCTGCAATCGATTATTGCCTTATATCACGTTTGCTTTTAATTAGGACATGATCCATCTAATTTTTTATTTTTGTGTCTGGAGAAGTCCATTTTACCGTATGAATGTCTTTTTTATCAAACCTTTTGCTAGTCATCTTTATTTTGTTCCCTGTAGCAAATTCTATTAACTTTTTCCCGTGGTCATTTGACTCCTTGTGTAAACTTCGTACCTCTGTTATACTTCTATATATTTCCTCTTTTCCGAATTTCGCACTCATTTTTATCAAAATAAAAACAAACTTTACTATCTAATACGGGCTTTACACCAACAATAAATTCACGAAGAAATTCATGAATTTATTCATCAATTTCTGTGTCAATAAATTCGTGAATTTCTTGGACGTAAAAGTTTCTTTGACTTCAAATAAATTTTTACATCAAGTGTCATTATTTCAGTAGTACCAATGGTTTTATTATTGGATGTTATTTATTGTTGTTTGTTTGAATAAATATTTATTTGGGTTTGGAAATATAATCAGAATCAGAAAACAATATCGTTTTAAAAAGAAAATAGTGATAAAGATTTTACAAAAAATTATGCTGAATCTAATAAAGAGTAAGAGCTTGAACAAGAGGTAAAAATAAGTGGAAATTACATTATAATTAGTGAAAACTTTTTATTTTAGACATAGACATTATTTGATAATTTCAAATAACTTTAATAAGAACAACATAGCTAAAGAAACAGAAAAAGTGGAAATTTGATTTTTTTTATATGAAAGAACAAGAAAATCTAGCATTCATTACATACTAAAAATTACCTGTAGTTAGTATAAATGTTAATCAATTCATTGTGACTTTTAGAATGATGAAAGCCTTTATTTAAATACAATACCTGCCTCAACCAATTAGAAGTAAAGAAGAGAGAAAGCTACAATACTTTTTATAATCTTTTAACCACTATTCATAATATATTCTCAAGAGATATTTACCTAATATAAATAAATAGCTATGTTTATTGTTAGAATATTGAAATGTCTACAATTCTAATCACAAAGAGATATTGTAAAGAAATGAATACTTAAAATAAATAAAACATGGAAATAACCAGTACTACTTTACCACTAGTTTGTGAGCTGATTCTTTACAATTTTAATGATTTGTCTTTAACATATTACAATTTGCTTTATTGAATAGTAGGGTATAGGTTAGGACTAAACTAAATAGGTGTATAAAAATACAATAATTTTTAAATATTATATAATTTAAATAATAAATGAAGAATCATAATAACAGGAATAAAAGCTAGTTTTAATATTAATTATACACAAACAACTATGATTTTTTTCTAAATAAAAACTTTACAGATTTTATCTGTAGGATATGGAATCCTGCACTTTTAAAGGAAGATAGTCAATTTAAGAAGAAAATTATGAATAATAAAGTATGAGAATAAGAAGAATGAATAAGAAAGAACAAAATTAGTAGCAGGCCAACGCCTTCATGTAGAAAAAGAGCACAACAGAAACATGTCAGAGAAATGGAATTGTTGACGACATGCACTGAAAAGAAATGAATTTATTAGGTTTAAAAATTAAATTATACAAAGAAATATTTAATAAAAAATAAACAAAGTTCTATGTATATTAATGATTCTTCCGAGGTTTTCCCATAACACAAAAATAGTTTATGGGGTTCTCAAACACCTTCAACTTAAGGAAGTTCAATAACGTTTTTATTTAGCAATTCATCTTCAAAATTGTCTCCACTTTGATTTTTTATTTGAATCATTTCAACTATACAGCTTCTTTCATTGGCTAAAATTGCAAACTTTCTTCTTCCATACACATTCTGTTAAATATCTGGAATTCATTGCACAAAATTTCAGGATGTGTTAGTGAATTGTTTTAGTGGACAGTCTGAATGTGAATTTAAAATCTAATCAATAATATAGAATTATTCATACCTGGTTCAAAAAAATAGATGAATGGACTCAACGCAAAGTGAATTTAAAAATCCTATCAATAATACAGTATTATTCATATCTGGTTTAAAAAGAAAATATATCCAGGGAGTATCACCAAATCATCAGAATTTAATATCTCTAAATTCTTTTTTTTTTTGAAACTTGCTGTTTTTGAGAATCATGAGCGGAATGTGACAGCCTAGGTACTATATTTACCTAGGTACCATATTTTTCATTTTGCAATCTTATAATACTTGGCATTTCAAAGAAAAGCATCCTTTCCTGTTTCAGAAGTCAATAGCATCCATATCTCTTGGAAAACGTTGATTAATCCATTTTTAAACTTTCAAGATGATAAAAACATTTACCTAATGACTAGACCAAGTAAAAGATAGGAGTGAAGAAAAAGGTAGAATTATATAATCTTTTATTAACAAATATTTACTGTATAGTCTTGTGATGTCCTCTCGTAGGAGTCACTATCCGGGTAGCTTTTGGACAGTCAGAGACAGAGTTCAAAATAAAACTTTATTGTCTTCCTTAAATTAAATTGACAAAAATCTTATGTACATATTTACAATTTGGTTTAGTCTTCTCAGTACCTGGCCTATTTATTCAAATTAAGTTTGACCTTGTCATATGAAATTATTCTTATCGGCAAGCGAGTGTGTATTTGAAAGTTTACGTGAACGTTGTATCGATTTAATAACAGCGGACGATAGGTACAAAGAAAGGAAAGGAACTCAACACGTCCCTTAAGTGATTCGGGTTAATAGGACACTCCTCGACAGTCTCAACACGACTGCTTCAGAGTACGGGTAGTGAAGAGCTCAACACGCTCTTCGGGTAACGGCGGTATGGAACGGAACAACTTGTGAACTCAACACGTCCACAAGCCGGGGTAGGGAAGAAGAGAACCTTCAGTCAACACCTGTCGATTCTCCTCTATGAGGAAATGTTGCGGTTTATATAGCGGAGCTTGGTAATTAGTTTTGCCCTTTCTACTGTCGATACACTCCTACTACATGGGTTGGTTCGCGCGCACGCTGGTTTAATGGTGATGGCTTGGACTCATCGTTACAGTCTCAAAGCGTTAAATAAATAATATTTAAAAAAAACATGTAAGAAAGGGAAAAGTAAACACTATTTTAATAAAAACTAGAGTTTTCTGCCTCGAAATTTTATGTTTTTCCTAAAAAAAATACATAATATTATTTTCTGTCTTTTATTATAGAATAATAAACTTACCTCTTTTCCATAACTATTACTTGACACACGACTTAAAAACAGAGTAAAAATGCAAAGTTCAATTTGGTTCAATAATCAAAAACAAAATAATTATTATCCCTACTTCGCGCCAAATCTACACAGGTTGGTGATACTGAATTCACGTCCAATAAATGAGAAAAATAGAACATGTTCTATTTCGTCAATTTCTATACGAAGTTATTCATGAATTTATTCACGGCAAAATTGGATGTCAAATTGTGCTTTACACAGGTCAAATTTGACCTTGAAGCGACTTCACGAATTTCTTCATTAGTTTATTGTTGGTGTAAAGCACGTATAATAACACAATGGAAACCTCAGCAAAGTATGACTCGCCGGCAAACAGGAAACTTTGGTAATGTGGAGGTGGTACGAGTATGGGTTAGCTTGAATATCAAAAGAGCTACATTTCGAAAACTTATCAGACATAAGTAAAGTAGACATTTTAAAAAATGTAGTTTAAATTACTTTATTTTACATAATAATAAATTACAATTAAATATATAATTTACAAGTTTTATATTTGTTTGTGAAATTATTTACTTAGCTCTATTTGTATTTCTTGAAATGACTTATCCTTCGTATCTGGTAATAAAAAGAAAAAGACGAAAAAGTTAAATAAGCCTGCTACAAAATAAACAAACATACCAAAATAGTCTCCAATGTTTTCAGCTAAAAACGGATAACTAAATCGTATAATAAGAACAAAGACCGTTTCTCCTAACATACTTGTTGCAAAACCCAAAGATCTCAGATCAGTAGAAAAAAGTTCGTTGCATAACGATATTGGAAGAAATCCGTATCCCACACCATACCCCGTTATAAACAACACGGTCAATAGAATAGGTAGCCAACCTAAATTTTCAGTAAGCGGAGATTTCATTTTTATCATATAAAAGTACATACTACTAAACAACATGCAAAAACTGCAGACCGAGCAAGAAATCAACATTAACTTTCGAGAACCCCACCTGTTATATAGATAACCAACAATAATATAAACTACTAACTGCGTGCTTCCTATAATAATACCAATTGTATCAGGAGACACCACAGATTCTGCAATGTTAAATATTAGACCAGAAAATACCAGTAATATGGTACTACCGCATGTTTGTTGACCAATACAAAGTAATAAAGATAAGAAAAGAGCTCTCCTAGACGCTTTGGTTTTAAACATATCTAATAAGCTTGGTCGGATTCCTGTACTTTGAACACAATTTGCAGTTTTTTCAATCTGAGCGTACTCTTTTATAACCTCTTCATTTGTTTTAGTACTTCTTAATAATTTTAGTGAACTAAGTGCGTCGGCGTCTTTTCCTTTTGAAGCTAAATAAACCGGAGATTCAACTATAACTAAAGGTTCTAGTATTAAATGAATTAGTGCTGGTATACCTATTAAAAGAGTATAAACTTGTATACTAGTATAAGCACCTACAACATACCCAAGAAAAATTCCGGTTGGAGCTGCAATACCCAGAATCGATCCTATTTTGCTTCTGTTGGAAACATCCGATATTTCAATATTATATACAGAAACACTGACGTAAATGCCGCTTAGATTAAAACCTACTATTATTAATGGTATAATATAAACATAAACAGATCTTGCAAAAGCTAGGATGAATAGCATGCAAACTAAACTTAAACCCGAATAACGCATAGTCCTTTTACGTCCTATCCAATTTGACACTTTAGCCATTGTAAGAAATCCAATTCCATTACCCAGATATTGACATGTTGCTATTATTGATACTTCCATAGTACTTATAGGTTTTCCAAATGGGTTAACATTTGTGTCATTCGAAAGAAGTTTTGGTAGTACTGGTGACGCCCAAAATAAACAACTTCCCATTGAGACCAATAACAGGTTAGCTAAAAAATAATTTATATTAAAATCTTATGCAATTTGTTTCCATAATATAATATCGTCCGCTGTATGCAATAGTGACTTAACTCAAAAATTGACAAAATTCAGACAACATCATCAGAGTGCTTAAAAACCCTTATTTATGACTTTCAAAACTGGCACAATAATTATAGCAAAAATGTTTGCTTGACGTCACTTAATAGTGTCGCTATGACATGTTGTCGGTTGGGATAAATTGTTTCTTGCAGTACTGGCCCTTTTTAGTTGTACAGTGGAAGGCGCTATCAAGTTTCTATGCAATACCAGAATTTTGAGTTGCCATTGAGTGCCACTATACAAGCAACAGACAATTTTAGATATTTTCAAAGTGTATCAGTGAGAATTTTAGACTTGTGTCAGATAAAATAAAAGGAATAAATTTATTGGTTTAACAATGTCAGATCCAAAGGATTATCAGAAAAGAAGGCAATTAATCCTATCTCGAGCAGGCGTAATAAGTAATAATATCAATATTATTTTATTGTTTAATTCCAAATAATAACAGTTTTGATGCTGATCTTCTTTACGTGAATGATGATCATAATGTATCATCTACATTTACAAAGGTCTGTGATGAAAATGTGGAGACTAGAGTACCAGAAGACGTGAGGATTAATAAATCTAAAAGTAGGAAAAGGAAGGCTTTGTCCGGACAAATGGAAAAGAAATGTCAGAAAATTTCTTAGAAATTCTGGTCAAAAATACACCAATCTTTCCATTCATGTCGACTGAAAAGAGATGAAAATTGAAGTTACATGAAAGAACACAGATCTTTGAAAAATATTGGTCAATGGAAAATATAAATTAACAACGTTATATTCTGAGATTCATGTATATGTTATGGACAAAGTGATTATGTTAGCCATTATGTATAATGCCCGGTCATTATTAATAATGACTAACTTCAGCAGGCAATTTGATAACTTTTTACAATTTATCATAGTGTCTGGTCAATATGAAAATGCTATACTATGGCCGGGCAATGTAATAAATCGGCGTTCTTAGTAAATCATGCGATCTTCAGCAGCGAATCAACGCGCTGTATCCAACGTTATGGCAAATACTATAGACTATAATACATACAACTCTTGACATTTCCCATTAGTTTTGTGGCAGCAAACAAAACAGCACCATCTCATGGTATGAGTTGATAACTACAAACTTATGCATTTAATTGCCTGTTATTTAATAAGTGTAATTTATTAGTTTATTTATAGATTAAATCAAAATTCAAATTTAATTGTGAGTTATTTTCTTTAATTTGATATTTTTACATTTTAATTTATATAATTTTTTCTTATTACTGTCGTTAATTTTATTTACATAAGCTTTTATTAACACATTAAAATATTTATCTATAAAAGTCTTGTAACAATTTGTACATACATTTTGGAGAGTTTCTTGAAAGTCACATTTTAATTTCAATTTATATTTAACATTTTCAACGCTTTCTTTTATATAATTTTGAAAATACCTTTTAAATATTTCATTAATTTTATCTGAAGCTCCCTTGGCTTCATCATTTGGAAATTTAAAATTAGATGATTTCTCATATTTTTTTAACTCTATTAAGGTATTTTCTAAAGAATAATTATTAAAAGAGTTACATACTGCATTTCTACATTGTTCGTGAGGCAATTGACTGCAAACTCATCCTAACACATAAGTCTCAGAATTTTTTTCGATCATATCGTAATTGTCATTACTTATGTCGTTTTCGGTACAATGCTCGATAGGATTATTAAGCAATACTTTAATTGGGTTTTTGAGCATTTCATCTTTTTGAATTAAAAATGAACAAGCATCAATGTCGCTGTTGCTGTCCGCTGATGGTTGCAGTAACTGATTTGCCATGAGAGATCGCAAGTTGCACCTAAATTTCACACTGTCAGGTGTATTATTATTAAAACCCTTAGCCCTAATAATAGAAAATAAATTTTGTATACAGTCTTGGGTTAGCCTTTTTGTAAAAAGAAATTGAAACCCATAATTGCTCTTTAAATCATTCCAAAGCAACTTCAGAGAATTAATATTTGATATCCATCCATTGATACATGTTGGATTAACTCTTCTTCTGTTCAATTCTCTGATATTACTTAGAAATTCTTTTAAATCGTCCAATTTATCAATATGATAATGATTTTTTATTGAAATTGGCTTTCTGAATTTCTTGTCATTATATTTTGAAGAATTAAAAATGTCAAATAAAGTGTCCACTTTCTCAATAAAGTTAGCTGTGTATGCTGCACTCGCTGGTAATTTATTTAATGTAACATGACATAGCATCCCTATTTTAGCGAGATTAGCTAATTTTACAAAAATTAGAAAAAGAAAATTTGTATGTTTATGTTGACAAAACGTAGTTATCAACTCAAGCCGCTGTGGCGCTAGAAGCAACGTGCTGCCAGTTTTGTGTCGGAGTTGGATGTATTATAGTCTATAGTATTTGGTTATAGTCACCGAAGCGCGTCGGCCATTATTTATAAATCATATTGCAGTTAAATGTTAGTAATGGTATATACGACAAGTGTTTTGTTTGTGACATTTCATTGTTAATTCTTTGTTTATAAAGTATTGCATAGTGAACTATGGAAAAAGAAGAACCATTAAGTGATATGAAATATCGATTTAACAATCGGTTAACTGAATTAATTTCAGCAAAAAGTCAAAATTCATAAATTTTCACAAAAACAGCCTACATGGAAATGATACAGAAGGTAAAAAACTCTAAAAGTAAACAGACAAATAAAACGCCGAGTGATTATCAGCGCTTACGAAGATTCGACGTTATGACGATTAGAGAAGTAGAAAAACTGATTGTTCCTGCGAAAGAAGATAACGTAATTAAATACTACGTCCTTACAGAAGAAATATTTGATACATTGCGCGATCTTCATATTACTATCGGGCATGGTGGTAGAAACCGAATGGAGAAGGAAGTACATTCTAAATTTAAAAATATTACAAGGGAGATGATTGTTATCTATTTAAATTTATGCATAACCTGTCAGAAAAAACATAACGTTCCAAAGAAAGGCTTGGTGGTGAAACCAATATTGAGCAAAAAAATGAATTCAAGATGCCAAGTCGATTTAATCGATATGCAGTCACAAGCCGATGGCTGTTATAAATTTGTGCTTGTTTATCAAGACCATCTTACCAAATTTGTCCAACTTCGACCTCTTACAAGTAAAAGAGCAGAAGAAGTATCGCATGTAAAGAGCTGTGTAGCATGTGGCCCGAGTTAAAAATGGTACATGGCAAACCCAGGCATTCTTAGAGTCAAGGATCTATAGAAAGGGTCAATCAAGACCTAGGGAATATGCTTAGTTCGTGGTTAGAAGACAACAATACAAACAAATGGTCTGAAGGCTTAGGTTTTGTTTAACTAATGAAAAATAGAGCTCATCACACTGGTATAGGTTGTAGTCCATATGAAGTCATGTTCGGCACAAAGTTGAAAGTTGATTTAAAAAGCTCTCTACCCCAAGAAGTTCTGACTGATGTTAATTCGGAGGAAGACTTAGAGGTCCTGTTCAAAAATCAAGAGGCTGGGCTATCTACAGAACCGGATATAATACAAAATAATAATATAAATGTAGACTCTTCAATAATGTTGCCCGAATCAAGTTCCATATCATCTGACTACACCCTGGACGTTCAAAAAATTGGAGCAATTTTAATTGATGAAAATTCATCTCGTGAATCTAGTCAAGTTCCAGACTTTTGAACAAATGCGGTAGAAACGGCTATTGTAGTTAATTAAGAAAATAATGAAAATCTGAATTCCAATATAGATATTAGAATAAACGATGTAAGGAAGAACAGAAAATTGGCTTTGACGAATTTAGAACAACAAGCCGAGAAGATGTAAAAATTTTCCAATTCCAAATATCCATCGGCTAAACTAGGTAACACAGTTAGGATATGAGTGCCAGATGTGGACCGAGCTCGTAGTGATCAAAGAAATCTACTAGCTATCATGACAGACATAACTGAAAAAAGCTTTACAAACTAGGCACAAAATATGGCATACTAAATCATTTATATTCAAGAAACCAGTTTACCGTTTGTAAAGAAAAGTTTATCTTCATAGAAGAGATTCCAGACACTGAGATATCTCTTAGAGAATGTACAAGAAAATCTTCTAACTGTGGGGGACAAGGAAACAGCAGGTGCGGTTGTAAAGGTGGGTGTAAATCCGATAAGTCTAAAGAAAAAAAAAATATGTAACTCCAAGTGTCACCATAGTGGAACATGTTTCAACAAATAGTTCTGTATTGTAAATCATTCATACAAAATAAATTTCGATGATGTAGCACGCAAAGGTGGTAAGTGTATTTTTATTTAAAATTGAGTTTGATTTAGAAGAAAAACTATTTAATTTCTCACTGGCCGCTTTGTGTGTTACCATCGATTTCGGTCATTAGAAAAAAATGCAAATAAAAACACAGAATTCTTTTTTTGGTTTCCTCAATTACCGTTAATACGTATTATATTTTTTATGTATACTTAGTCATTAAATGTACTCATGTGCCATTTCACAGAAGACTGCAAGACTGTTTTCATTAGTATATAAGAAATATTTTAGTTTTTACTACATACTTGATTGTATCAAAATAAATATATTTCATATTTAATAAAAATAAAAGTAGTTTTAATCATCCTGTCTAGTAGAAGCCAAGCATTATACATAATGCCCGGGCAATGTGATGAATTTAATAGTATTTATTATATTGACCGACAGTATTGGGCATTTTTTATATAGCCCGGTCATTATGAAAAATGACGAATTAATCATATGGTCCATAACATATATAATTAAACCAACATATCGATATATAAATAAAGGTAACACATCAAGCCGTGGTTTAAACAAAAACCTTACTAGCCTTTGTCAAGACAAGAGTATTCCACCAAGTCAGCTGATTTTTACCGACATTATT